TTGGAAACCTGGAATCACTGGACGGTCATTTCGTCCTATTGTGAGACTCCTCAACAGTGCTCGTTCAAAATCCAGCTCGCGGGATTCGAATCTAGTGCCTTCAGTCTTGCGCTCGAACGCTCAACCTACTGGACCAGTGAGTCGGCATCCAATGGTATATTAGTGTATAACACCAACCAATTCACGAAATTGCGCAACGATCTTTCATTGTACTGAGGTTGATAATTGTCTCTATCCAACACGGATTGGCTCAGCTGGTCATGGCTTCTCACTAGAACTCTGAGAATTCCCTCACGAATCTAGTCATTAGTGAGCACGTGGTAATTATCATTATGGGGTTGTGGAGATTATTAAGTTTCTTGTTGAGATACGGCAAGCAAGATCGTGTATGCGCACTGCTGAGGAGTCTCACAGTAGGACGAAACAGACGTCCAGTGCTTCCAGGTTTTACATGGTGGTCTAGCTACAATTGACTCATGATTTCATCTATGAATATTGTTTACTCTATTGATTATAATGGACAGTTTCTATGTGCTTTTTCACGATAATTTTTTTCGTTGTTTTTTCAAAATGAGGAAATAGTTAAGTGAGGAACCTATTTTTTTTCTGTACTTCTGCTTTAATATATCAACTTCAAGTCCATTTTTATTGTATATTTGGTTAGCTGTTTAATTATACATAATTATAACTTTCATTAAAAACATTAGAGTATGATATTTTTTGTATGGTAGACCGAATATTAATATGAACTCATAATAGACAACCAAGTTATTATATCCAAAAGTTAATGTTATAATATATAAACTATAATTGATAAACATAAAGGAAAGTTATGGATTATTACTTAAATTGGTAGGCTTTTGCCATGTTCGATCTGTATTTGGTACCATAATCTATAATTATAGGGAATTAATCATTCCAATAAGGTGGTTATAATTCCGATGATATAGTCAGATGTAGTATATAATGGAAATATGATTATAGTCTATACATGTAGATAATAGATATTTTAGAGTTTAGTTATCATAATAACATACACTTGAAAATAAGAGATGTGTATGTAGCAGTGTATTTATGAACAGTTAACAAAGTGTATCGTAGAAAAGATTTGTATCTCATGTGGTGCACAAACTTCAGTTTGTGCTGATGATTTAGTTCAGAAGAACGATGAAAGCTCCACAACCAAACCATCCAGCTCAGCGTACAAAACTCCAGTATGTATTGTACTATGAAAATTTATTATGAAAGATTGTGTAATCCATATATTTTTATTAGAACGACTTTAGATTTACATTGAGTAATGTTATTGATAATTGGAGAGTATGTCTTACTACTGTTAACCGTTAAATACATATACCATTAAGATTAGAAATAAAATTTAACTATATCGAGTAGATTACTGTAGTCTATGAATTTGTTTCAACTTTTATACGGATTTCGCCAACTTATATTTTAGCACCTGTAAGTGTATCTCATTCCACAAGTGATATTATAGAAACTTTAAATGTTTAGCCATCTTTATTAGTGCATTCTCTAAGTAAAACCACTTACTTGCTGTCACTTTATGTTAACACCGTCCCTAGCAAGTTTAACTAATTTGAATAACATCAACAGTATATCACTGTGTCACATGACACACGCATTTTGGTAGACCTGATTGACATATTTTGGTAATTACTGCTTTGTTGTTCCATGCTCTCTGTTTTCGTCTTAATTTCTCTAATTGTAGATAATTATCATTAATTCGATCAGGCACACGAAATAACCTTAACTACTGCTAAGTTTGAAGCTAGCACGAGTTAACTTAATTGGCGAACGAGAACAAGACTCGCTGACCAAAAATCAGTAAGCTAGCTATTGGTGCGTCCCAGCCCCGCTAACTAGAGGGAGAAGTCCAAGCTTGGAATGGGAAGTATATTCTTCAAAACATCCGGAGACGAGAGATAACAAGAAACACAATTCAAAACGTATATATACAGTACAAAATCGTCCTTGGGGAGACTTACCGAATAGCATACTAAAAGACTCAACGGACCAATAACATTTATGATATTTCCCAGTGGGAAATACGACATGAATGTGACAAGAGCGCCTTTAGCACGAAAACAAAGAAATTCAAATTTTCTAAATAAAATTACAAAATTAGGTCCTTTCGCAAGTAAGTTCTAGGGATCGTTCACTACAATATTTGTTATATGAAAACACATTGAAATACAACCAATTCGAATGGGAAGTGGATGAAAAATATTATGGATTAATTAAAGGCGGACATGTATATTATTAGATATTGTCTCAAGAGTATAGAAGTTAAGAATTCGCCAGGAGACCTTTGATTTATGAGTTCGATCTACTGTAGTGAGGTTGTAAATTCATACAGCTGATGAGTCCCACACTGGGGTGAAATGACTGTCTAAGACTTTCTGGCTTTCGACAATGGTTTCATTCAAATCAGTCCATAATGTAAAAAAATATAGAATTTCCAAAGTGTTGTGGACAGTAATTCCTTACTAACATTTGAAATAACACATCTTTTTCCATACATACACTTTTACAAATTTTAAAATGATGAATGCTTAAAAATATAAATGTTCATGAATTGATTGAAGTTAAACATGAACACCGTTGAATGCCGACTCAGTAGTCTAAAAGTTAAAAGTTCTAACGCTAGATCGATAGGTCCTGTGTTCGAATCCTGTGAGCGGGATCGTGAATATAACAACTTTTTAAAAAAAATTTACAACTCTTCAATTATCCTTTGTAAATTACGTCTTAGTGTAATATTCATTAAGAGTTTTATTATATTTACGATTAGTTAGATGCTTGTATAACTATTCTAGTAGTGATAAATTTAGTAGCATTAAAAACATAATATGTAAACGTCGAAACATTTAAATGAAGTATCCCTTATAAATGTGCTTATTTATCAACAATCAATCCATTTATTAGCGATTGTTAACGAAAGTACTGATAACGCTTTATTCGGTTCCTAAGCTATTCTGCTAAACCGCAAGCTAGAAATACGCAGCGACCTGAACTCGAGAGAAAAGGCGCAAAATAAGCAAAAAAACACTTTACTCCAAAGGTTCGTTTTTTGTACAGAAAAACACGGGTATTTATAGATGTTAACATTTGTTAAATCAACATCATATTTTGGCTAATCCGCTAAAAGACACATTATGTTACTGACTAATAGTAGCACGCCACGTTGACATTCTAGAAAGCTCCATCATTCTCTGATTGGCTAGGACCCTTCGGCTCCCTTAGGGCCTCTGGAGGCTCCGTTGCAGGTCTTTGAAAGGCGACTCAACAGGTTCTTATGTTGAAATCTTACGATGTATGCAGTATGAAATATTGGCTTCACAATTGATTAGTTTCCATCGTTTTGGAAATTATATATAGTACACTTTCATTGATATTCTCATGGTTATAAAATAAGTATTATTTTACATCAGTACAGCATTGTAGTGATTATTGAGTTTAAATTGATATCATGAATAGATCAATGTTAGAGCACCACTGAAAACTTGGAAGTACTGGACAGCCGTTTCATCCTAGTATAGGAATTCTCATCAGTGCGTATTTGATCGAATTGTAATTACACTATTATTTCTCTCAACCTATCTGACCCATATTTATTCTGATCATGGATCTTAAAAATTTCACTTAACATATAAGTTAATTCAAGTTAACATTCCATATGAATCATATCAACATTAACAACTTTATTTTAAAGCGAACGGTACTGGATTCGAGTTCCAGAGTGAACATCAACCTTTGGGATGTAGATACATTCAGTTGATCAGTCTCAAATAGGAAGAAACGAGCATCAAACGGGATTCCACTACTAACTACTATCCATCTTTGCTTGTAATGCTTGTGAATTAGGTAATATTGAGGTAATCCGCACAGCGTGTACATATGCCAATAACAGACTGATCATTTGCACTCCTAACACAACAATTGTAAGATACAAACAAACAGTATCAAAAGAATTTAAACTTCACTCCATTGCACAAACAAGTAGCTATCAAAACTCAGTAGTTAAATGTATAACGTGATGACATTTGAAGCGAACGGAAGTGAGTTCGAATCACACAGTGAACATCAACTCTGAGATGCAGGTACGTCTAGCTAACGAATCACAAATAGGATGAAACATGTATCAAACTGGATTCCACTGCTAACCACTATCTATCTTTGCTTAGAGTGCTTGTGACTTCAGGCAATATGGAAGTGATCCGCACAGGGTGTACATATGCCAATAACAGACTGATCAAATGAATTCCTAAGCAATAATAGGATGTTACAAGAAAACAACATCAAGTGAATATATTCTATTTTGTTTTATAATTCTAACTTCACTTGCTTGAGACGATACACTTTGCCCTTACCCTGGACCATTTTTCCACATTATTAATTTGAATGTATGAATTGAAGGACCTGTAAAGAATATTGTTCATTCAAATATTAAATAACTTTTTGAAATATCTAGATATCTGGGACAATTAACCCAGATATTTGAACAATTCACCAATACTGGTTGATAATATAATTATATGAACTTTATTATAACTGCCCTAGAAACAACAATCTTACATAACTAAAAAAATATATAAATATAACTATTTGTTTCTAATATACAATATAAATAACAAAAAAAAACACCCCAATGTAAAATGATGATTACATAACTTTCATAAATGTACTTTCGTAGAGAATGTTGACTCATATTATTAACCAATCAGATTATAGTTTTTTAAAACAATTTTCCTATTGGTTAAAAAATTCATATATATATACTACGAAAAAAAAGAGAAAAAATTTTTTTGGATTGAACTCATTATATTAAATTATAAAACGTTTCTTATGTCATTTGCCTTTCGTTGAGGAGCATAGATTGCCCATCCATATTCTCCATCGGATCCTTTCCACATAAAACGTTAACTTATATTAATATATGCTTATTGTTTTATTATTATTAGTATTATTGATTATTAATAATGAGTAATCAATTAAATACAACAAATAAACAATCCACTTTACAATTATATAGAATAATAAAACTTGATAATGAATATAATAATAATCAAATATTTACATTTATAATACCGCCACAATTTATTAAAGGTTTTTTACATAGTGTCCAATCTAATGAATTCTATTATGCTGGTCATTATTGGTATATACGTATGGAATATGATATCAATATAGATAATCAATATACTACTACTAATAATAATAATAGTAGTAAACAATTTATACAATATAATAAACAACCCTTAGGTATATCACTTCATTTATGTCATTTATCTAATGGTTTATTATGTCATTTAAAATCAATTAAATTCACTATCCCTCATCAATATAATTATACATTAAATTTAATACATCAAATGAATAATTTATATTTTACAAATAAAAATTTATCTTATCAATTAACATCATGGATTCAATCAAATTTATTATTAACTAATCAATATTATTTATTTGATAATGATACTTGTTTATTAGAAATTGAATTGAATCAATTAATGACAATTTATGAAGAACAATTACATATATCGAAAAATATTAAAGATATATTACATTGTAAATGTATTGAATCTACAACATTTACATATTCTAATAATGATTGGAGTTTTATTATTGATTGGAATCATTTATTCAATACTACTACTACTACTACTAATACTACTAATAATAAAGATAGTAAAGTTATTCATGATTATAGACCGAAATGTTATTTACAAAAGCATAATACATTAAAACATTGGATTAGAATACAATATATCATATCTATTCATTGGTATAATTTAGGTGAATTTACTACAGATTTATTAGATCATTTAATTAATCCAGATCATAGTTCTATAACTAAACCATTATTAATTGGTGATTTAAATTGGTTTTTAAATAATACAATCTCTAATATGATTAAATTAAAACATAAAATTTCTATTAAAATTCATTTTTATTCAATTACATATATTAATTTAATACAATTAATACCAACATTACCACATATCAATCAAAATTGTACACAATTTATTGATCCATATGGTATAGAATGGTTTATTATAAGTGATATATTAGGGAAATTAGTACATTTAAAATTATTTTATTTAAATCATTCCAATACTACTTATAATACTACTTATAATAAACAATTGAATGATAATGAATATCAATTACAAGTTAGATCAACTGCATGGTCAATTCAATTAATTCCATATAATGAATCATTAAATAATGTTAAATCAATGAGTCCATTTTATGTTATATATACTTCAATGAATAATAATACAACAAATCAAACAATCTTGAAACAAAATTCTAATACAAATTATCAAGAAATTGTTTTAAATTTAGATGTTGAAAAGGTATGTTATTATTCTTTTTAATTTGATGATCATTGATTATGTTCAACGCGGTCTCAATGGTTTAGACGTTAGAGGTTCGCGTGTGCGATCGATAGGTTCTAAGTTCGAATCTTGCGGAGTGGGAAACTCATACTAGGATGAAGTGATCATCCATTTCAATGATAGTCTAACAATCATCAATTCATCATCTTAATTAAAATTTATATGTTTGACTTAGTTCATTATTTAACTAGATAATACATAATTTATATAAATAATAAGCAAAATCTAAAAACAGAAAAATAATTAATTTTAACATTTAAAACTAGAAGATCATATATGTTTAGTTTACAATGAAGGTAAGTTCTATTAAGGAACAAACTATTCTTTGAAATTAATTACATGGAAAAATTAAATATGTATTATATCATTGATCTTATTTGATGTATCATCTATATACGACTTTTATAAACATTTTGAAAAGATCATTGGTTGAAATCATAAGTCAATTGAAGCTAGATCACTATGGAAAACCTGAAAGCACTGGACGGCCGTTTCGTCCTATTGTGGGACTCCTTAGTGGCAGTGCGCATCCACGATCCCACCCTCGCCCAAGAGATTCGAACCTAGGACCTATCCGTCTCATGTCAGTGCTTACAGGTTTTCCATGGTGGTCTAAATTCAATTGACTCATGATTTCAACTAGTGAAATTTTTAAAATCTCCACAAAACAACTTCTGATAATAATCATTAGCTCACTAGTAGTGACTGACTTCAAGAGATACTCCTGGAGTTCTAGTGAGAACCAGTGACCAGTGCAGTTCAACCAGGTCTGTTGTGAGATATCAACTCACTGAAGACAATGGTGTACGGTGGCGCAACTTCGTGTATTGGTTGAAGTTAGACATCATTAACACTGTTGGATGCTGGCCGGCTCAGTGATCTAGTTGGTTAAGCGTTCACGTGAGAGACTGATAGGTCTTGAGTTGGAATCTTGCAAAGCAGGATTGTGGATACGCACTGCTGAAGAGTCGCACAATAGGACGAAACGGCTGCTCAGTACTTCAAGGTTTTCCATGGTGGTCTAGCTCCAATTGACTCATGATTTCAAACAGTGAACTTTCTAAAATCTCTACAAAACCCCTTCTGATAATTCTGAAAATAGGCCGGAAGAACAACTTAAAGCAATTAGTGTCTCTTTGATAAATTTTGATAATGTGATAGGAAGAAAACGAATATTATCAGTACTATGTGATGATCACCACCCAGTGATCAATCAATTGTGGTTTCATCTCAGCCCAGTGGTAACGTCTCTGACTGTGAAGCTGGGTGTTACGGGATCAAATCCGTCAGCGAGTACCAGTACATACACTTCGAACAATCTGGTCACACATTACATACTTGTTAAGAACATTCATATAGAGAAAATAAAAGGTCAACTACACTGGAAATGGGGATAAGAGGAGACAAGGATAATAATATGAGTATTATTAATAATAATGTGAACATAATTTAAAATCTAATCACTCTACGTATAATAAGCCAATATTACCAGGTTAGGTTTAAGATGAGAGCAAACTGTATTTGAATACACAAAGAGGGTTTGAATTTTCATATGTCTAAGGCTACAATAAACCTTAGTATACTCCCTTCAAAACTTTTATACAACACCACAAAAGCCGCGTTAAGATCAATCTTATGACCTGTTTCGATTATATGTTTAACAATAAAAGATGATGGATGTTTATCCTCTACTCTTACTGGGTCACTTGATTCTATTTGTTTCTGCAACCATTTTGGTACATGTTTAGAAACCAAACCTTTGATTAATTAACAATTACTAGAATAAAATATCTAAATATCAGTTTGGAGTTGTAGAAATTGTTGGATTGCTTAGAAATTAAAAATTGATTTAAATTAGACAACTATTAAATGCATGGAAGTGTTGGATAGCGATTTTGTTCTGATATGGAAGAGTTAACAATACATCAACAACCCTGCATCTAGGAATTACACTCAGGACCTTCAATCTTGCGCGTGAACACCTCCTCTCTAGACCACTGAGCTAGCATCTAACGGTGATAATGTCTAATTCCAATAAATTCATGATATTAACGCAACCAATTTTCATTGTCTTCGGTGAGTGCTTTCCTCATACATGAGACAGCTAAGTGTTCAGGAGCGAGACTAAATATCCTGTGTTCCGTTATTGATTCCAAGATCGTGGATGTGTACTGTTGAACCGACCAAGATTAGAAAGAAATTTATTGTGTTGAACTATTATAAATAGTAGTATATTTCTTAAAAACTGTATGAAGAAAATCAACATTTTAATTAGTTATGTGATTGTGTTTGAATCTAGGTCTAAATATTCAATGAAATCATCTAAAGTAGCAATGAAGATGGAGGGTTTAAAAATTACCTTTTAGTTCTTAATTCAAAACCGCTCGACAGTGTACACCGGATATTTTACACAGGATATAACCTATGACCTATATGTATTAAGCTCCTGAAGGGCTTAAAATTAGAGTAATAAAAGGGTATAATATTAGCAGGTTTACAGTGAATCCTTGTAGTTGATACGAGGTTTCGATGGAAACAATTTTTAAGTCAACATCTTACTTAGGATTCTCGTTTAAAGTGTATAGTTACAAAACTAGTCTCTCAAACTTGTAATTTGACTGATATTGAAAATAAAAGACCTTAACTAGTCTAAATATAATTTTCCATCCATGAAAATCAAAGCTACTTTGTTCGATTCCCAATTAGGTTGTGAATATATGTACAACTGATCAATTTCATGTTTAATAATCGTTTTGTTAAAATCAGTTCTCTATGTAAATTATTATTTACTTAGTAAATAAACATACTTATATCTGGAATATTGTGCCCAGGACAGGGTTGGATACAGTATGCTACTGAGCTGCCAAAGCTCCTCCACGAGGAGTAACAGGCGTAAGTAAGTAATATATGGAACTTGAGTGATATATCAGTAGAATCAAGGGTACTAAATGAAAAGAATCAGTAAAAAACATCAATACACATTACTTTAAATGGCTGAATGATGTTCATTTAAATCAAACATTGAAATAGATAGATTCAAACATGAATTATAATACTTTTAAGAAAGGATATCTAGAAGTATTAGCTAGTGAAACTGGTTTTATTAAACCATTAATGGTTTTATTTATATGTAAGAAGACAAAATATTAATAATAAATAGACCGATCTAGTTAAATTATACAGTTAGTAAGACAGATATTTTCTCTAATCTACTTACATACTTATGCCTGTTACTCCTAATGGAGCATAGGTTACGAACCAGCATTCTCCAACCCACTCTGTCCTGGGTCTTCCTTTCTAATTCCATCCAATTCTTGTTCATTTTTCTCATGCCTATTTCCATTTCCCAGCGTAATGTGTTCTTTGGTCTTCCTCTTTTCCTTTGGCCTTGAGGATTCCATGTGAGGGCTTGTCTTGTGACGCAGTTGGGTGCTTTCCTCAATGCGTGTCCTATCCACTTCCAGCGCTTCTTCCTGATTTCTTCCTCCGCTGCGATCTGGTTTGTTCTTTCCTACATCGGCTTTCATCATGAGACGTCATAGTTCTTCTAAATGAAGATCTTCTGACTCCCAGGGCAGAGTTTGAAAGGTTTGAATAGTTTGTTCTGGTTAGCGATTTTTAGCAAGTTAGTTTTCTACAGGATGGGGTCGCTAACCTCATGTCCAACCCTCCTCCTTTATCCGGGCTTGGGACCGGCAGTAGCCCCTGGAGGGACTCCAGGCGGAGTTTCCTCTAATCTATGATTACCGATATTTCCCCGGTTCATTATCGAAATATTCTGTTATCCATAGAACAATATACGTAATATCATATTGTTTCAAGCTTTTAATATATATCTAAATGAGTTAAAATATCTACTTTTATTGGCTCAACATCTGACTCCTATTTGATTGTGTAATTATCGTTATCGACTTATACATTGTCGTCAATTTTCGTATATCATCACCGACTTAACTCATATTAGTGTATAACGGAATTAAATAATTTAGATGAGAGAATGAAGTTCGAATGAGTATGTTTCATACAGTTGTTGATTGATCTGGAAGACGGAACGATAAAGGCGAAAAGGAGAGAACAAAGTGAGACGGATCAGAGAAGACATGTTAGCCAACTCGATTTAATCAAGCATTAATCAATATTTATAGTTAGACAAAAATAAGTTACAGACATGGGATATATGAGATAAGAAATGTACACATATACGCTTGCATAAAAAGAGTCAAAGTTGATAAGTGAATATTTAACAAGATCAGAATGTGACTCGAGAAGAATGAATAAATTTACCCATCCGGAAGCTAGAATAAGCTATATGAATTAAACATAGCAACCAGCATTACATAATGAAGTGATATAATAAATATTTTGTGTGTAGTTTTTACTTTGGCACTTTTTAACCATTACCGTAATAATGTTTATGATCTCAATCATTAACTTAATAATATCAACAACCCCATCCTAATAATTACCATGTGCTCACTAGTGACTAGCTTTGTGAAGGAATTCTCAGAGTTCTAGTGAGAAGCCATGACTAGTGGAGCTAATCCGTGTTGAGTAGAGACAGATATCTACCTCGGTTCGCGTAATTTTGTGGATTGGTTGATGTTATACACTAATACCACTGGATGCCGACTCAGTGGTTTAGTAGGTTGAGCGTTCGCATGCGAGACTGAAGGCCCTGAGTTCGAACCCCACGAGCTGGATTTTGAATGAGCACTGTTGATGAGTCTCACAATAGGACGAAATGACCGTCCAGTGATTCCAGGTTTCCAACGGTTGTCTAACATCAGTCGGTTCATAATCTCAATCAATAACTTAATCTAGAACGGTTGGGCATGTGTACATATGCAGACTCTTTATAATAAATGTTTAGATTGTTAATAATTGTGGCTTATCTATTATTTAATATGAAATTGCTGTTAAGATGGATTTAAAGTAAAAATGAACTTTCAGAAAGATTCTATCCTATTGTGGGACTCCTCAGCAGTGCGCATCCACGACCTCGCCACGTGGGATTCCAATCCAGGACCTATCAGTCTCGCGCGAGAGTGCTTAACCATTAGACCAGTGAGCCGGTCAGCATCCAACAGTGTTAATATCTAAATTCAACTAATCCACCGCCGTCTAGTGCTTCCAGGTTTTCCATGGTGGTCCAGCTTCAATTGACTCACGATCTCAGCTAGTGAAATTGTTCAATATTGAATAATCAAGTTGTGTTAGAAATCTGAACTACTGGTTACCAATTCAGTAACTGAAATGTAACACTTTCTATGAGAGACTTGGGTTATCTAGATAGAATCTATGGAATACATGTGCTATAGATTAGACAGTTATACGCTATTTTCTAGCTAAAGTCAAACGGTAACAAACCGTTTCAACGTATACTGAATTTAAAATGTTGCTTATTTTATGAAGAAACAACTTACACTTAGTAGTGAAATCTTTTAAATTCAGTTTCACACTTCTCAAGTTATATTATTATTTTTAGTTGAAATAAAATATTAGAATAGAAATTTGTAGAGGTTGTAGTAATTTTAATAGTTAAATTCATGAGTCAATCTAAGCTAGACCATCAATAAAAACCTGGAAGAACTGAACGAATGTTTCCTCCTAGTACGGAACTTTTCAGCTGTACAAATCAACAATACCACACACGAAACTCCAGCCTGCAACCTGGGTTGAAATGAAATACTAAAGTTTTATATTACTTTCTTACATTTTGACTTGGAATACAATTGTCAGAGTAAATTCCACGTATATTCTGGAGACCAAATCAGTTATAAAATGAGTTTATTCAAAGGAAATTAATCTCAATACCAATGTTAGATCACTATTGAAAACTTGGAAACACTAGATAACTGTTTCGTCCTCTACGGGACTACTCAACAGTAAACATCCACTAACCAACTAACGAAATAAGAAAACCTAATAAATATAATCTATATAAATGCTACGTAATGATAAATTTGGAGAGACTCTAATTTATGGACGACCTTTGAACGAATTTTAAGCGACCTCGAGAAATATTAGCCAATCAGCAAACAGTCAGTATAAAGTAAAAATATGTTATACGAAACCAAGGAAATAAAGTGGATACACTTTGAATACGTCGTTCAAAAACTTGTCAAGGTTAGAAAGAGGTTCAGAAGTTCTAAAATCGTAATGCATGCAGTAGAGGAGATCATCCATATGGCTATAGAATAGTCGGCCTTTGGAGATATGATAAGGTTACATAAACTCTTTCAGCCTCGACCACATAGCTTCAATATTGTTTGTGTGCACTCCAGTTGTTGAGTACACAAAATCCCACTTGTGGGCAACGATATGATACACATAACAAAGTCTATGTAAGAGATTGTACGCTCTGCAATCATTCGTATATATTGTAGTACCTGGATGCAGCCAGTGTTAATGGTGCTTTTATCATTCAGTTCGCAATAATTGTCATAATTTGCCTTAGTTAGGAATTATATATGTGGTTTTCATCACGAACTGACATCAACTATAATGCCAGAAATTTATTAAGCCAAATGGATGAAAGGCTTTCGCGTTAAAATTCGAGATATATTATCTTATACCTGATTAATTCGTCCACAAATTATAGTTCCGCCGTTTTATTTGTTACAGCCACTCAATTCTCACGTTTTGTACAAAATTCCTTGTGAACCAATCGTACGTTAACATTAAGCATTGAAGTTGGCGCCGTAACCTTGAAATCTCTAAAACGCCTCTGATTGGCTCGTCCATAGATTTTATTTATTCCGGAAATAAATGAAATATAAAATTAATAAATCATTTAAAGGACTTTTTTTTTTAATAAATATTCTTCCGGAATTAAATAGAATATTTATGTTATTGTAAAAGTATGAATACTTTACGCCTCTTTTTATTCATTATCGAAATGTTATTTTTTTTGTTGTAACCATGATAGATTCGTGATATATCTTAATCAGTTTAAAGATAAACAAAGAGTATTACTATAAAAGTATCAATAGAGATTGATAAATTTCATAGTGTACATCATAATGTCCTATTGTATTCGGTGACCAACGAATGGTTCATATTTCATTTGTTCCCTTAGGATCTGGGTACTCAGGGTTTTCCAACTCCCCCCAGGTGAACTCTTCGTATCCACAACTTGGTTAAAATGACGGTCATTCGCTTTTTGTCCTCTCAATTTTTATAAACAACACCCTGACTGCATGATGATAGTAAGTAGGACCTCCATGACTGTGATTGTATACGCGTGACCATATGAGAGCATTTCGAAGAATAGAGCTAACTTTCTCCACTCTTGGTCGTACAAGCGCATTTAGGTGCATTTATGTATCAGTCTCATGACCAGTATTCAATGATTATTATATATAATTCTAATGCATTTACGATGTTATGTAACTCTCTTCTTTTGGAAGGTAATCCTATCACATTTGATATGATTGAACTACATTGGTCATAACATCTCTATGTACTTGATGCCTAATTTCTTCTCAATTTGCTTATTTAAATATTGACGAATATTTGTATAAATGTCTTGTGGGCTTTCAGCAGTTATCTGACTAAAATTACTTCATCACATTAACTGTCAAGTGAATTGAAAATACTTGAAAATAAGTACCGATTGGAAATCTAGAACATTTCATCAGATCATATTCAATCATTAACTTGACTAAGAAAGTGGTATGATAAACATAATTACAAAACTATATGTATTATAGTGTAGTGAACAGAACACGGGTGGGGACAATCAGATGTATTTAACACCAAATTAAAGGACTTGTTAATAAAATCTAATAATCATAAAGTATCAGTTTAGCGGTTGTGGAGATTGTTAAGTTATTGATTGAGACCATGAACCGATTGATGTTAGATCACCATTGAAAACCTGGAAGCACTGAACGGCCGTTTCGTCCTATTGTGGGACTCCTCAATAGTGCGCATCCACAACCCCGCCCCTCGCGAGATTCGAATACAGGTAAGTAGCACACACCACAACAGAATGTCATCAAAACTTCTTCAATGATGATCTTTGACCTTGGTAACACATAAATAATGAGTTGATGTTTATGATAAAATGTATTGAATTCAAGTTCTAATATGATAATTAACACTTGAATGTAAGTATATATTCTTGTTGATATCTTTCAATCAGAATGAAATGTTAGTTACATTTTCAATGTTAAGTGCAATTCATCTTTCTTTAAAACTTTGAAATCATCCACAATAATCGCTATTTTTCAGTATTTGGTCACTGTTAATAACTCATTATCGTTGAAAGATAACGTAGACACGTAAAATACAGTGCATGTCTTTAACTGTGTAACATAGGTTTGAACTAGATGGAGAGTGATGTGACAGGACGAAAAAGTAGAATTAAATTTTTGACTCATCATGATTCTTGTTCAACATTCAGTCAGTTAGTAATCTTGAATGCTGTTGGAGGTATGAGGGTGGTTATCACTTCCTGGTTACTGACACCATGGAAGGGTTCTTCTCGAGGTACCTCAAAAGAAAATTGGTTTAAAGGTGATCTTTGTAACCTGAGAGCCTGACTGCAGTGCCTAAGGGACAACTGCTTGAGGTCGGTCACACACGAACTTCTTGCCAGTAATTTTTGTGTTAGCTCCGTACTTGCTGGGTTGACCTTTTCTAACCTCACCCTTCCTTGTGGGAAGGCAACATAGCTGTTATGTTGGTTGTCTAAAGGAAACACCTTACTGTTGTCACATCTCTGTACAGTCAGCAGTACGACTTCACCTTCGGACTTTGGGTTTGCTGCTTTTAGTCTTACCGTTCTTCAACCGATCTGTCTGGCATAGTAGGACTTTCCAACCAATATAGCTCGATTGGTTCATCACGTTAGACATGCTTGACTATCACGTCAAGGTAGTAGTAATGATCGGGTTGTTCAATATTACTTCCGTTTTTAACGTTCAGCATGTGATATCTTATATTTCTGGGTATTTTTCATCTATAATATTGTAGTGTCGGTTACTGTATTAAACCCATATACCTTATTCTGACTTCTTGAGTCAAATGTTTTAAACCTTGTTAATTATTCACTTATCAACCTTAACTATCTTTATATGAGCGTATATGCGTATACATCTTATCCTACTTAACACATATCTGTAGGTTATTTTTGTTTAACTATAAATATTGATTAATGTTTGATTGAAAAGGAGTTAGCTCACATTCCTTCTCCACTCCATTCCGTTGATTGTCTGACTGGATCAATGATTGTACAAAGTATACATATTCAAAAGTTCATTCTCGTATTTGACTTATTGAATTCCAATATACACTAAAACGGATTAAGTCCATTAATAGTATCCCAGACTAGTCAGGATGTATATCTTGACAACAATCATTCACATGATCCAAATGGAGTCAGATATATAGGGTCACTAAACTATAGTTAACAAGCTTTCTCTTATATACATTTGGTTATACTTTGAATGGAATATGATTATTCTATATTGATAAAGGTATCATTCATTTTAATATGAACACTGATTATTACAATTTTGATTTTAGGTATGTAGTTCAAATTTTGGATATTCACGTCCAAGTGATAATGCAATTACATTACATATTGAATGGTTATATTCTCATGTATTATGTAGAGGTGATTATCAAAATTATGATGAATTGATCGCAAGACAACGTTATCATCTTTTGTAAGATTCCAGTTATATTTTCCTTTAATTAAAGTAGTTTTTTTCTTATTCTGATCTTTCATTTTTTAGGATATTATTAATTACTTTGATATGTTCCCCCATATGGGATAGATCCAAAAAAAGGTTTTATTGGTTAAGACAATAAACGTTGAGACTATAATTTATGAGAAGGGATTTTGTGGAGATTTTAGAAATTTCACTGGTTGAAATCATGAGTCAATTGAAGCTAGATTACCATGGAAAACCTGGAAGCACTGGACGACCGTTTCGTCCTAGTATGGGACTCCTCAGTGGCAGTGCTCATCCACGATCCAGTGAAATTTCTAAAATCTCCACAAAACACCTGATAATAATCATCTGCTCACTAGTAGTGACTGACTTCAAGAGATACTCCTGGAGTTCTAGTGAGAACTGGTGACCAGTGGAGTTCAACCAAGTCTGTTGTGAGATATCAACTCACTGAAGACAATGGTGTACGGTGGCGCAACTTCGTGTATTGGTTGAAGTTAGACATCATTAACACTGTTGGATGCTGGCCGGCTCAGTGATCTAGTTGGTCAAGCGTTCACGTGAGAGACTGATAGGTCTTGAGTTGGAATCTTGCAAAGCAGGATTGTGGATACGCACTGCTGAAGAGTCCCACAATAGGACAAAACGGCCATCCAGTGTTTCCAGGTTTTTAATCGTCGTCTATCTTGAATGGACTCGTGGATTTGACTATTACAATCTCCACAAATTCTCATTCTGATAATTATGATATGCTCGCTAGTGACCAGCTTCTTGAAATTCTAGTGAGAAATTATGTCTTGTGGAGTTCAATTCGTATCAAAGATGAGAAAGTTATCCACTTCAGACAATGAATGAATGATTGCGTAAGATCATGGATCGAGATTGAAGTTAGACATCAACACTATTGAACCGAAAGTGTTGAGTTTGTATCATATAAGTGGAATCATAAATATGCACTGTTAAGAAGTCTCATACTAAGAATTTATACATTAACACCATTGGATGGCGGCTCAATGCTGTAGTTGGTTAAGCGCCTGGCGCGAGACTGACAGGTCTTGGGTTCGAATCCTACGAGTCGGGTCGTGGATGCGCACTACTGAGGAGTCTCACAATAGGACGAAACGGCCGTCCAGTGCTTCCAGGTTATCCATGGTGGTCTAGCTTCAATTGACTCATGCTCTCAATTGTTGAAATGTTTATCTATTATTTCCAAATTTTAAATAATACTCTAACTTAGATCAACGTATAAATTGAACTGTTAAAAATACTATCTTCTTTATATAATAATAATATAAGATTCTATAAATAGTAATAATTTATTTTTATATTTTAGAAGAGATATAAGTAACAAAGATTCAGGGAATGAACATTTAAACAAACTTAAACAAGTTCAAGTTTCAACAACAACAACAACAACATCATCATCATCATCATCTAAAGAAAATGATCATCATGATCATGATACTAATCGAGGAAAATTATCAGAATCTAATATAAATTCTATTAAACAATCATCATATTTAAGAAAATCATCTGAAATCTTATCATCATCTAAATCATATTTTCAAGATTCATTTAAAATTAAAAAAACTTCAACAAATAAAGGATCCATATCACCAAATCATTCATTATCTAGTGGAAATTCTTTAACAAATTCATTAAATATTAAACATTTTTTAACACCATCCGTAATTATTAATAATAATAATAATTTAAATTTAGATATAAATAATTTAGATGATGATTCTTCGTCTACAAATCAATCTTGGCGTCGTCATAGTTCGTGTTTAGAAGAAGTTGGAACAAATAAACCAAGACAACGTAGACAATTACCATCTCCACCTCCTCTTCCTGTTCCATTAGTATCATCATCATCATCTTCATTGAAATTAACAGGAGTTATATTACCTGATGATGTGAATACTATTTCTTCAATTGATCGTTATCAAACAACACGAACAAATAATAATAATAATAGTCCACGTTTATCATTAAAACATGAACATTCGGATTTTGGTCATTTTATCTAAACAAACAAGAAAAATTTGTGTGTGTGTGTGTGTCTGTGCAGTTTTGCCGGTTTTTTTATTTTTTGTGAAAATAAAAAAAATTGATTTCTTCAAAGTGTTTCTGTGCATGTGCATGTGTGTGTGTATGTGCTTGCGTGCATAAGTTCGCGTGCGTATGTGTGTCATGGAAACCAACCAAACAAAATTTCTTTGTTTTCACTGTTCTTTTTATTTTTAAAAGAAAACAAAAAAATTAAAAAAACAATAATAACCATATATACTACTATAAGTCATTTGTATATTTTTAGATATGAATTCGTTTGGTCAATTGTCCATTAGTTTGTATTGTACATTGAACAATCTTGTTTAAATTGTTGATGATCACGAAACAAACAAAAACTTTTAAAGAATAAAATGAATTTTGTTTTCATGTGAGTAAATGTGATTTTGTTTTTTGTGGTTTTTGTTTATGGCATAATATACTACTTATTTTACTACTTATGTAATCATAAATAGTAAGTAGTAATGACTGAGCTTCGTATATATATATAGATATCCTTTGTTTTGTTTGAAAATTTTACTTTATCATTGATTTGTGAAGTGTACTGTTTTCTTTTTAAATGTTACTGATTTTCATGTTTCTTCTGAATAAAAATTGATAATCGATTTTTTTTCTAATTGACATTATATTGTGTTTTTGATTGAGATCATGAACTGATTGATGTTAGACAACCGTTTTAAATCTGGAACCACTGAACCATCATTTTGTCCTACTGTGGGATTCCTCAGCAGTGCGCATCCACAATCCCGCCCGCTGGATTCGAACTCAGGGTCTTCAGTTTCACGCGCGAACGCTTAACCTACTGGACCACTGAGCTGGCATTCATAGGTATTAGTGTATAACATCAACCAATCCACGAAATTGCGCGACCATATTATATTGTATTGAGGTAGATAATTGTCTGTACTCAACACGGATTAGCTCCACTGGCTATGGCTTCTCACTACAACTCCGAGAATTTCCTCACGGACCTAGTCACTAGTGAGCACATGTTAATTACCAATATAGGGGTTGTGGAGATTATTATATTAGTTTGTCATATATTTGAGATAATTACCTCCTACCTTATAAGCAAAGATAAACAGTAGCTAGCAGCGTACCATCCTATTTGGTACTCGTCAACTGGATGTGTCCACACGTCAGAACATATGTTCACCCCGGGGCTCGAACCCAGTACCGTTCGCTTCTAACGCCATCACGTTATCCACTTAACTACTGAGTCATGACAGTCACCTGCTTGTGCAATGGGGTGAAGTTATATTCACTTGATGTTGTTTACTTTTATCTTCCTATTGTTATAAAGACTTTAATTGATCGGTCGGTTATTGGCATATGTGCATCCTGTGTGTATTATTTCGATATTACCTTAATTTATACGCATTCTAAGCAGAAATGTATAGTGGCTAGAAGTGGAATCCATTTGGCCGTGTGTTTCGTCCTAGTTGGGATTCGTCAGCTGGATGTACCTGCATCTCAGAGTTGGTGTTCCTTCTGCGTAAATATATCTTCTACTTGTTTTCCATTGAAAAGTTACTTAATTGACTTAAGTCATTGCAGGACCCGATAATCTATGCTTTAAAACTGAAGTAATTATAGTATTTAAGTAAGTATTTACTCCAGCAACTGTCATTGTTACTTCACTCTGAAAATGATGTATAACAGAAGGAAATTATTTATTAGGAAGTCATTAAATAGGCTATTGAGATTTATTTATTGACCTTGCTGTCATCACGAAGTTGATCTACATCACTCATCATTGTCAGTTGGAGAATTATTGGGAACCAGAAGTTATTGGTTGAATTCAAACAACTGTACCCTAATAAAAGTAGGTTCCGATTCATGTAACTATATTCAAGATGAAATCTGTGAGTACTAATGAAAATTCTTGACGGCTGGAGTTTGATTATGTAAATTGTGCGGTAGTTGTCAGCTATGGTAATCAGGGATGGTCACGTAGCATCAAGAATTGAGTGTATGAACTAATGTATCTGAATGTATGAAAGTGAGTATTTCTTACACCCAACTTGACATCAATTATTTTCTAGAATGTTTGGTGACACATTAGCCTAAAACAACCAGAAATTATGTCAGAAATGAAATTCTTGGAAAATCACATGCATAAGAATGATACAATGGTGAAAAAACGGACTTTTATAGATTATATAATGAATTCATATTTGGTATAACAATGTTACTTTCACTAAAATGTTGAATGAGATACAAGTGTGGGAACTAAGTAATGAGTATGCTCCTGAGATTAAAATAACATTGGTCAGTAGTATCGAATAAACTGAGCATTGAGTGGAGAAAGTAAACAGCTACATATTGGCCCATTTAGTACAAACGGGTCATAGTACCAGTGTAAACCGATGTCTTTCAATTATTTATCGGGTCAGTAATGTTTTACCTAAGCTTGTCCGACTTAAAGTCCTTCAAACGGCTGAAGTACTAACCATCCGGATGAAGAAATCGGAGTTATGCGTGCAGATGAAATTTCTTCAACCGTTTCTCTTCCTCTGGTTAACCTCAAGGTCAATTAATCAATAGTAATCTTAGCTGTTGAATGACCAAATTTGACTATTGTACTTGCAACCTTTCGTAGTCAAATGTAATTGTCTCTGTTATCTTTATTGACAAATCTTTGAAATATTATTATTATCACTATTGGTTAAACATCATTATTTATCTCCCTAATACATGATTCATTTACTTAGCATTCATCCTACGTTATTATGTTTTACTAATACTTTTTTACACAATATAGACTTCCACTAAAAATTTGATCGGATTGTCATTGCACTATTCTTTTTCCCAACCTATCTGACCCATATTTATTCTGATCATGGATCTTAAAAATTTCACTTAACATATAAGTTAATTCAAGTTAACATTCCATATGAATCATATCAACATTAACAACTTTATTTTAAAGCGAACAGTACTGGATTCGAGTTCCAGAGTGAACATCAACCTTTGGGATGTAGATACATTCAGTTGATCAGTCTCAAATAGGACGAAACGCGCATCAAACTGGATTCCACTACTAGCTACTATCCATCTTTGTTTAGAATACTTGTGACTTAAAGCCATATTGAGGTAATCCGCGCAGGATGCACATATGCTAATAATAGACTGATCAATTGCATTCCTAAACAACAATGGGAAGTTACAAGAAAACAACATCAAGTGAATATATTCTATTCTGTTTGACAATCTTAAATTCACATGGTTTAAACGATGCACTTTACTCTTAACCTGAATCATTTTTCTTTCTGGAAGGAATCAAATTGAAAATGTTTATACATTAAAAATATTTGATTCGTAAATATATCACTTACGCTAGGCTTATTGTAACATTGTTCTTCTTTCCCAGAAATAATGTATTATGCCAATTATTAATTGAGATCGTGAATCGATCTATCTTATAACACCATTGAAAACAAGGAAGAACTGGACGGCAGTTTCAGCCCAGTATGAGTTTCTTTATCAATACTTATCCACATTCTTACACGCCTGATTTGAATTCAGGTACTTCGGTCTCATGCACGAACAATTAACCTCTAGACCACTGAGACGGCATTCAACCAATCCATGATATTGTCCAACCATCTTTTATTATCTTCAATGGATAACTGCTTCATATTGTATCATGTTAGTACGAAATGGCCGGTTCAGTGCTTCTAAGTTTTCAATGATGGTCTAACATTGATCTTTACAACTTCAAACTTACTAATATATAATACTACTGAGAAAACTTTATTGACGTTCAATTCATATTTTTTAAAGAAATAAAAGTTTACAAATTGAAAATTTGGCTCGTATGTTGCATTTCGTTGTTGTTGTTGTTGTGGATGTTGATGGTTTCCTTTGACAGTTATTGAACAATATGATTAGTGCATACTTTGATGATGATAATAAAATGTTCATGGATGAATAAGTCAAATGAACAAGTAAGCAAATACATTGTTTCATCAAACATTTCATTAGGCATAGTGTTTATATTACCAAACTTTACTTAGACAGATAGTCATTTAACATGCATGGATGCATGTATATACACAATTAGACATTTTCTAATTCAAATTTTCAATGAAAGTTTATTCAAACAACATATATAATCCATAAGTTAAAAAGAATGATCCGTTATCTTTTCCATAAAAAAAACATTGTTAATTTCACATATTTTTTTTGAGAAAACAGGAAAACATCATGAGTAGAATGATGAATTACTGTGACTGAAGGTCCTAGGTTCGAAGCCAGCGAGGCGGGGTCGTGGATGCGCACTTCTGAGGAGCCCCCACAGTAGGACGAAACTGCTGTTCAGTACTTAAAGATTTTATATGATGGTCTAACATCAATCGGTTCATGATCTCAATAAATAAATAAAACTTATGATAAAATTATGATATTAAAAATACTCTAGTGAGAGTAGAAAATTTCAAGGAATTAGATAATATTAAACTTGATCTAAATTATAAACATCAAGAATCCTACATCAGTGTTTATTTCAAAGTATTTACTTCTAACTTTATTAGAGGCAAAAGGTTAAGTAGATCGAAGAAAAGAGAACGAAAAAACAGAATGGTTGCTATGGGAACGATGGGATAATCAAATCTGATATTTTGCAAATGAAGTATTTACTGTATGATTCTCAGATTTTACCGAAATATATTGTATTTCATTTTATTTAAAATCATATGTATAGATTCACTTGGTATTCTTTACTTGAGTCTTCCAGTTGATGTTAAGCACTGTAATTGAGTAGTCTGTTATTAGCTTTTATGCATCCCGTTCGTATTTCCTTGATATTGTCTTCAGTCACAAGCATTGTAAGCAAAGTTGGATAGTGGCTAGCAGTGGAATTCGGGACGTATGTTTTTTCTTATTTAGGACTGACCAGATCGACGTACCTTGGGACTCGGACCCCAATAACTAAGTGGATAACACAATGGCGTTTAAAACGAATGGTGCTACATTTGA